TATCTTAGGTGAAGGGAAGGACAACACACACTACAGGGGAAGTCAGCACAACTGGGCTAAACCAAAGCCAAGAAGTTTCCTGAATACAATCAAACACTTTGAGGGAGAGGGTGGCAGGGGTAGGGGTCTGGGGACCATGTTTTCAGGGGACATCTAGGTCAATTGACATAACAAAGTTTATTAAGAAAATGTTCTGCATTCTACTTTGATGAATGGTGTCTGGGGTCTTAAAAGCTTGCAAGCAGCCATCTAAGATGCATTAATTGGTCCCAGCTATCTGGAGTAAAGGAGAATGAAGAACACCAAGGACACAGGAAAGTTTTAGCCCAAGAGACAGAAAGGGCTACATAAACTGGAGACTTCATCAGCCTGAGACCAGAAGAACTAGATGGTGCCTGGCTACCACCAATGACCGCCCTCACAGGGAACACAACAGAGAGTCCCTGATGGAGCAGGAGAAAGCTGGGGTGCAGAACTCAAATTCTAGAAAGAAGACCAGACTTAATGGTCTGACTGAGAGTGGAGGTACCCTGGAAAGCATGGCCCCTGGATTCTCTATCAGCCTAGAACTAAAACAATTTCCGAGGTCCACTCTTCAGACAGCGATTGGATTGGACTGTGGGACATAAAGTGTTACTCATGAAGAGTGTGCCTCTTGGCTCAAGTAGCTACAAGAGACTAAATGAGCAGCTTCTGTCTGGAGGTGAGATGGGAAGGCAGAGAGGGTTAGGAGCTGGTTGAATGGACATGGGGAATCAGGGGTGGAAAGGAGGAGTGTGCTGTGACAGTACAGGGAGAGCAATTAGGGTCACATAGCAATGTATGTATAAATTTTTGTATGGGAGACTAACTTGAAATGTAAACTTCATCTAAACAACAATAAACAAAAATAAAATAAAAAAGTTATTTGCACTGAATAAGTCATTGGTCTCACAAAATTCTGTCACGGGATCTCCAGTGTCTTTTCTATCACCAAGGCCATATTTTCCAACTACCAATCCTTCTTCGTTGTTTCCAACTTTTGCATTCCAATCACCAGTAATTATCAATGTATCTGGATTACGTGTTTGATCAGTTTTAGACTGCAGAGGTTGGTAAGAATCTTCAATTTCTTTATCTTTGGCATTAGTTGTTGGTGCGTAAATTTGAATAATAGTCATACTAACTGGTCTTCCTTGTAGGCTTATCAAACTAGATAATAGATCTTGAAATGCTCCTTTTGACAATGAATGCGATGCCATTGCTCTTCAATTTCTCATTCCTGGCATAGTAGACCATGTGATTATCTGATTCACAATGGCTAATACCAGGCCATTTCAGCTCACTGATGCCTAGGATATTGATCTTTATGCATTCCATTTCATTTGTGATGACTTCCAATTTTCCTGGATTCATACTTCGTACATTCCACGTTCTGATTATTAATGGGATGTTTGTAGCTGTTTCTTCTCATTTTGAGTTATGCCACATCAGCAAATGCAGGTCCAAAAAGCTTGCCTCCATCCACGTCATTAAGGTCGACTCCACTTTGAGGAAGCAGCTCTTCCCCAGTCATCTTTTGAGCGCCTTCCAACCTGAGGGGCTCATTTTCAAGCACTGTATCACGCAATGTTCTGCTGCAATTTATAAGGTTTTCACTGGCTAATTTTTTCAGAAGTAGACTACCGGGTCCTTCTTTCTAGTCTGTCTTGGTCTGGAAGCTCCTCTGAAACCTGTCCATCATGGTTGACCCTGATGGTATTTGAAATACTGGTGGCATAGCTTCCAGCATCACAGCAACATGCAAGCCACCACAGTATGGCAAACTGACAGTTGGGTGGGAACCATACAGGATACCACATTACATTGCTTTGTCACAACTCCTTAGGCTTCTCTTGGCTCTAATAGTTTCTCAGATGTCCTTGTTTTTGATGATCATGACAGTTTTGAAGAGTACTAGCAGGTATTTTTGTAGAATGTTCTTCAGTTGGGATTTGTCTGATGTTGTTATCAGATTAGGCTGGAGTTAGGGGTTTTTGGGAAGATGACCACAGAGGTAAAGTGCCATTCTCATCACATCATGTCAAGGCTACATACTATTAACATGACTTATTACTGTTATTAATCTTGATCATCTGGCTAAGGTAGTATTTGTCAGGTTTCTTCACTGTAAATTTACTATATTTCTATATTATATTCTTTGGGAGGAAGTCACTATGCACAACCCACACTTAAGGAGAGGAGAGTTATCTGGAATACTTCTACATGGGAGATTAGTCTATTATTCCCATTTATTTGTTTCTTCAATGTCTATTTATATCAGTATGGACTCATATATGTTTATTTTTTATCAAAAAAGAAAAAACCAAACCTGTTGCTGTCGAGTCGATTCCGACTCATAGCAACCCTATAGGACAGAGTAGAACTGCCCTATAGGGTTTCCAAGGAGCAGCTGGTGGATTCAAACTGTCAACCTTTGGTTAGCAGCCAAACTCTTAACCACTGTGCCTTATACTTGGGTTTTAATCCAATACTACTTTATTCATTTTGTTAATCAGATCGTTCCATCTTTGGCTATTAGGAGCTCTTTTAATTGGCTCCTGTGTCCCTCTGATGTATCCCAATTTATTGTGTGTGTGTTTTGAGTATTTCCTCACTTTCTGGCACTACAAGTTGCTCCAGGCTCATTCTGTGTATTTCTCGCCCTAGTCGTATAGGGTTGCTATGGGTCGGAATTGACTCCACAGCAAAGAGTTTAGATTGGTTTGGTTTTAGTCCTAGAATCAGTGTTTGCCAAGGAACTCTGTTTTTTTTTTTTTTTAATAACATGCTTGTTTTTTCTTTTAATTTCTCTGCTCTGAAGATATTAATTACAATTCTTTTAGAGACTCATTACTTTTATTCTATTAACTCTATTTCCTCGGGTGCTACTAGTTATTTCATTTGTTGAATTTAGTCATAAAGATGGTTTTCCCTAAATAGTTAGTGATTCTTATATGTATGCTTACATTTGCATTTGAGAATCCCTGTTTGCTTTTCTGTGGATGCAGTTTCTGTTTTCTGTAGCCTGCTACCGGTGACTCTGGAGAAGGGGCAAGATGTACAGACAGTGGAGTCGGTAATTCTTTTGTGTGCGTAAACATTATCCTGCCTGTCTAGCCAAACACCTATACTCATAGTAGGTGTAAAGCTTAATGCCTCTGCTGTCTGATGTTTTGGAAACCCTGGTGGCGTAGTGGTTAAGTGCTATGGCTGCTAACCAAAAGGTCAGCAGTTTGAATCTACCAGGCGTTCCTTGGAAACTCTGCGGGGCAGTTCTACTCTGTCCTGTAGGGTCGCTATGAGTCGGAATTGAGTCGATGGCAATGGGTTGGTCTGATGTTTATCTCAGTTGGGGATGAAGGTACAGGAAAAGCTCGATCATTTCCTGCTACCTATATCTATGTCCTTTAACCTTGGGGTGCCTCATAGCTGCTCCCAAATTCACAGTGGTTTTCTCCTGTGCATTTTTCATTTTATAGTTTTTTAAAAAATGAATGTAATCTCATCTACCTTCCATTTTTCAGAGATTCCTAAAAATTTCTGCCTGATGAATGTCCCCATCTTCATATCCAGCACTCTTATGGATATATTTTAAAAAAAAAAGAAAAACACCTTTCCAGTTTACTGTCTTGATCTAATATCTCCACCCTGCATTTTTAAAATGAAAACATGAAAGCGTTGACCCAACTAGGAAAGCACACTTCAATTATTTTAATGCAGAACATGGAATACTTTGGTGCCATGGATGGTTCTTTGACTATTATTATACCTACTTCTATGATTGAACAAACAAGTCTGTGAGCAAACTTCTTCTCTACTTGGCAGTATGGGTGTGTCATAGATTGAATTGTGTCCCCCCAAACTATGTGTCAACTTGGCTAGGCCATGATTTCCAGTGTTGTGTGATTGTCCACCACTTTGTCATCTGATGTGATTTTCCAAGTTTTGTAAATCTTACCTCTATGATGTTAATGAGGCAGGATTAGAGGCAGTTATATTAATGAGGCAGGACTCAGTCTATAAGATTAGGTTTTGTTTTAAGTCAATTTCTTTTGAGATATAAAAGAGAGAAGTGAGCAGAGAGACGGGGGACCTCATGCCACCAAGAAATAAGAGCCAAAAGAACAGCACATCCTTTGGACTCGAGGTCCCTGTGCTGAGAAACTCCTAGACCAGGGGAAGATTGATGACAAGGACCTTCCCCCACAAACAAAGAGAGAGAAAGACTTCCTCTGGAGCTGGCACCCTGAATTTGGACTTCTAGCCTCCTAAACTGTGAGAAAATAAATTTCTGTTTGTTAAAGCCAAAAAAGAAAGAGGCTGGAAACATGAGAGAGAGAAGAAATAGGTTTAAGTATACCTGTGTGGCAGACTCTTCACTGCCTGCTCAGCAGACATTTCCCTACCTTTCACCTGCCAACTGAATCTCAGTTTTGTAGCAGATGGAGATCACTTGATATCAGGGAAATTAGGTCCAAACTCTGGCATCAGGGAATAAATATGATTGGTCAAAACTAGTCATAGTAATCCCATTTCCCTTTACCAGTAATTGTTCTAGGGGTCAATGAAATGTAAAGCAAAGTGTTGGAGTGGGGATTTCTGGAGTCTTCTCCTCTTGGATAATAAAACAGAGCTTCAAGAGGAGAAAACTCCTTTGTCCTTAATCCTTTTTTCCTGTGAGCTACAGCAGCCATCTTGGTGATCATGAGGTACAAACACAAAAAAATGAATAAAGAGCAATAGAAACAGGTATTTAAATGAAATCACTGAGCTGCAGAATGACTTCTGATTAAGTCAACAATAAATCCTTAAGGTTAAGTAACTGTTGTCTGATTTTCTGTTACTTTCAGCTAAAGGCATTCCTGTACACCATATAAATGGATATTAAAAAACTTTTTTTCTAATAATATTCTGAAATTAAGAGATTAAATTTTACCTCTAATTTTCTTATATTTCACTTTTTCTTTTTTTTCCCCCAGAATTAAACCTGGAGTGGCAGCCAAAACCTTCAGCACTTTCAAAAAAGGACTCAGAGACTGCAGTCGCAGAGACAGTTGTTATTAGAAAATCTGCAAAAGTGACTGTCAGTATGGATAAAACTGCACAGAAAGCAAAGCTAGAACAACCATGGAAGAAAAATCTTTTTGAAAGAGTGGAGGCAAGAGCCCAGGAAATGCAGCAGAAAATAATAGATAAAGATAATCTGAAGAAGGAGCTAGAAAAAAAGGCTGCAAAAAAACTCCGTAAGGATAATTTGGCCAAAGAGTGGTTTAATACTGAAAACACGACACTGAGCACTCGAGCATATTTGCTTGACAAGCTTCTTCCCACGTTAGTTCCTGGAGTGGAAAAAATGTTAATGCAAGTAGAAAAGAAGAAGCTTTCTGAAGAAGCTGATACTCCAACCAAGTTTGATCCAGTTAATTTTCTGGGGGAATACTTAATGAGAAACAATCCTAATTATGCCAAGTGTGAAATGTCTGGTTACCAGAGGGTGATGAGAGAAGTCACAGAAGATCTGAAGGTCCATGTTCCCGATACAATCTGCAACAGGTACAATCTGTCATATTTTCAACTGATAATTTATCTCCTTACTTTGAAAAGCCTGGAAAACAATAATGCAATCACACAAACAGAACTTAAAAGAACTGATTTCATATTACTCAAAATGTATTTATTGAGCTACTGCTATGTGCCTCAATTTTCATGACTAATGAAGTATATTAAATAAGTTCCTTGTATTCATGGATTTTATTCCCTCACTAGTGCCCCAAGTATATATTTATTTATTTATTGTCTGTCTCTCTGCACTGGAAAGTAAGCTATATGAGAGCAGGGGCTTTTTTTATTTAATTTTTCAGATAGGCAATATATTCACCTGGTTCAAAAGCTAAAATACATAAAATTTATACAGTGAGAAGTTACCCTCCCATAATGTCTTAGGTTGGATTCTCTAGAGAAGCAAAACCAGTGAAGCATGTATATACGTATACATATATATATAATCTATAGATATATGTGTACATATATAGAGAGAGATTTATATCAAGGAAATGGCTCACACAGTTGTAGAGGCTGGAAGTCCCAAGTCCGTGGGTCAGGCTGGAGGCTTCTCCTGACTCACATAGCTACAGGGGCTGACGAACCCAAGATTGGCAAGTAGGATGGCAGGCCGCTGGCTCACAGGCTGTGGAGGTTGACAAATCCCAAGATCAGCAAGTAAGCTGCTAGCTGAAATCCCAAGTACTGGAGGTCAGATGACGAGCCAGATGCAGGATCCAGAACGAGCAAAAGCCAGCAAGCTTTGCCAGAAAGTCCACATATATTGGATGCAGGCCACAACCGCAAGGGAACTCCCTTTCAACTGATTGGCTGCTCAGAGCAGATCTCATTATGGAAGTGATTACATTATATCAGATCTCATTATGGAGGTGATTACATCATTACATAGCTGCCAGACTACATCATAACTGCCAAACCACTGAGAATCATGGCCCAGCCAAGTTGACACACAATCTTAACCATCACACATTCTTATCCACCATCTAGCCGGTACTCAGCCTCTCCCATAGACAACTACCTGTTATTAGTTTTCTATGGATCCGTCAAGAGTTTCTGGATGCATGCATAAACAAATGCAAATATGGATTCTTAATTTTCCTCCTTTTACACAAAAGCATGTGATATGAGTTACAAATATTTTTCCCCTGTTTATCGCCTGCCATTTATTTATATTTTGTCATGCAGAACATTTTTTATTTCCATGTAGTCAGATTTATTAACTTTTATTTTATGGCTTCTGGATTTTGAATCATTGTTATACTCTAAGATTTTAAAAGAATTCTCCCATGTTTTCTTCTGGAATTTTTATAGTTTTAATTTTCTTTTAAAATAATGATCCATTTGGCATTTATCTTAGTGTAACATATGTTATTGCTAGGTGCCATCGAGTTGATTCTGACTCATAGCAACCCAGTGTGAAAGAGTAGAATTCTCTCATAGAGTTTTCTAGGCTGTAATCTTTACAGGGGAGCTCTGGTGGTGCAGTGGTTAAGAGTTCGGCTCCTAACCAAAAGGTCAGCAGTTCCAATCCATCAGCCGCTCCTTGGAAACGCTATGAGGCAGTTCTACTCCGTCTTATAAGGTTACTATGAGTCAGAACCAACTTGATGGCAACGGGGTTTTTAAAAAATCTTTACGGGAGCAGATCACCAGGTCTTTCTCCCACGGAGCCACGGAGTGGGTTCTAAAAGCCAACCTTTTGGTTAGCAGCCAAGTGCTTATAAGGTATGAATTTTTATCTTTAGAGTGTGGTTGCCAACGAATGACATCAAAATTACCTTGGGTGCTTGGTTAAAAGGTCAGATTTCTAAGTTCTTCCTCAGATCTTCTGAATCAGAACCTCTAGGAATACATTTATAATGAGTTCCAGGGGAGTTTCTTATGTACACTAAAGTTTCAAGATGAATCATTTAGAGAAACCAAATTTAATGGACTTTTAGTACTGGTGGAATGTGCCAACAGCATGCAGGGAGCTGAGTCATTAAATTTAATAAATTGCTTCAAGAACATATCCTCTCACCATCTGTTCTTGCAAAGCAATAAATTAGATTTGTGTTTAGGTCTGTTTCCATAAATAATACTTAAAATTTGGGAACTGGTTTCAAGGCTGTTAATTGATATATTGACAAACCCTTCCTCCAGTTGGGATACGTAAACCTCAATTAGTACATTAAACTGTTGTTAGGTGCCGTCATGTTGGTTCTGACTCATAGTGACCCTATGTACAACAGAATGAATACTGCCGGTCCTGCGCCATCCTCACAATCGTTAAACTCTAGGCATTTATTAATATCATTAATAAGAAATAGTAATGGGCATGCTAGGGCTTTGGTCTGGGTTCCGTTGCCAACCAATGAATGACACAAGACATTTCTTGAACTGGATGTTTGAGGGTCATTTGAGGTTTGAGAAGAGTTCTATTATCAAGCAACATTGCTGTAAGAAGTCCATGAAGGAGTTAAAGGAATCAAAGATGCTTTTTTGTTTGTTTAGTCTGGATTGTCAGGATTAGGGTTTCATCTCCCTCTGGCAAAAATCCAAGAGCCCTGGTGGTGCAGTGGTTAAAGCAATGGACTGCTAACCGAAAGGTTGGCGTTTCCAAACTGCCAGCGGCTCCACGTGAGAAAGATGTGGCAGTCTGCTTTCGTAGAGATTTACAGCCTTGGAAACCCTATAGGTCGCTATGAGTCAGAATTGACTTGATGGCAATGGGTTTTTTGGCTTTATATGTTAACAGATGATTGTGTCAGGCAATTTGTAGAATATTCAGAAATCCTAGGGATGCTTTACAACAGCATGCTCTGCTCCCAATGCCTTTTGACGAAAAGCTTGGATAACCAGCTATCTTAGCAAAAAATAGTTCTGCTTTTAAATTCTCTGAACTATATCATTGGGTTGTCCTCAATTCATTAGAGAGCCTTGGAGAAGTCTACGGGTAGTCCCCGATTTATGGTGGAGTTCCGTTCCGGCAACTCTGTTGTTAAGTCAGTTCTGACGTTAAGTCGAATACCTCTTTTTTTTTTTTTCAAGTTTTCATCATTATTGCCTTTTATTATCAGTATCTTCATAAATCCAATCTTTGTCTTTGGGAGTTGGAAACATTATGAATAAACTTACAGATATATTTTAACATTGTATGCAGTACGTGTTACTAATGATTAGATGTCCAAAAAAAAATATGGTCTTAAGCGCGGTTCCTTGTAACTCAGGTACTTCGTAAATCGGGAACTACCTGTATTCACTTTAAGAAAGGGAAGTTTCCTTATTTATATTCAAGAAAAAAAGACAATTTTTGTTTGGTTTGTTAAGATTTTATCTTGACATTATCTTGTTGAAATGTTCATTTGCCAAAATTAACCTGAAAATTTTCAGCTGTCTAGGTCTGGGAAAAAAAAAAAAAAGGAATCCACTTCTGTTGGATATCTAAGAACAATAGATAATAACCACACTCCTTACTTATTTGGAACAATTTTTATAGTGGTAGCCAGTTATCTGAAAAACAAAATGTCGCTGCTGTTTGTACATTTTACATGTACAATATACTTTTACTGCTTTTCATCAGGGTTCCTGAAAGATACCTAAAAAACGAAGTGGGCTTTGATTCTTACATCCAATTTTGAAGTTGTGAAGTTGGTTAAATTTATCATTTTGCTTTTCTTCCAGCAGCTTTTTGTTTAGTATCTTTTCCCTCTGACTCTCATTCCTTCTGTGCTTGGAAACACGTATTTGATGGGCCATTACTACATTTTGTGAATTGATTTAATGAAAAATATTTATTTTTTAAAATAGAATTACAGAGAAAGTTTACTGATATTAGAATTTCAGACTATTCCAGAGAAGCAGGTCTTACTATACTGTAAATTTCCTCTCTTTTCTCCACCAGTCCTGATAGCCAAGATCCTAGAATGAGAGTTCAAATGAACCAGGAAGTAGATCCAAGAGGCCTAACCCAAAAACTTGGATCTTTTCCCGTGTGCCAGTAATAGTGATGCATATAGTTCTGGCTTCATAATGATCCTTGATCTTTACATCTATTGCTTGTTTTGTCTGTTGCTTATGGGGTCCATACTCCACCTTGAAATATCTTTTGGTCATTTCTCCTGTGACTCTTCTTTATTAGCTTTATGAACTAATATATTTAATCCATGAAGAGAAAGAATCACAAAGAAATATTCCAAATAATTACTTTCTCTGCCACAGACATATGAAGGAGAAAAATAAGTCAGTATAAATGCTTAAGCCTTAAGGATACACAAGCCAAGAAAAATTTAAAAGGTAGAAAGACATGGGTCTTTATGTATAATAATTCTGTACAGATCAATTTATGTACAGTGTTCAAGGAACTTATGCAGACTATGTGACAAAAATTCATTGTGTATCTTTCTATTGGAATGTGGTACCTGTGAAGGGTTCTAATATTTACTTCAAAGTATTTACTCTCTATATTTCAAAAAAACCTCCAAGTGTCTCACATAATCCTTACAAGATGCAGCACCAGGACTTAGGCAAGAGTGAGGGACTGTTTCATCCTTGATATGGTTTCCCTTAATTGCCAAGAGACAGTGACTTCCTAAACAGATGTCTGTCTGCTTGTACTTCACACCAGCTGCCACCCCTTTACTGAGCCAAGTCCTTGTGCTTACATTATGCTACGAAATCCCACAGGTGCTCCTCCTGAGATATTATTAATATGAATAATCTTGTCAGTCTGTATTGAATACTAGATTTTATAAATCCAGTAAAACAGCTTATGCTAAAAGTGAGTAAGTAGATAAGAGAAATGCTTTTTTATAGCATTAGAATGACTATTGTACCTAATGATATATGATGAGACTTTATCCAAACAGGTTCTACTTTTGTTCAATCTGAAGCATAATAATAATTTATATACACTGACTAGTTTCATATCCATCTCTAAGCCGCACTCTGTTGTTTGTGTGTATATTTCATTATTAAGTACAGTACTTAGAAATCCAAGTACTTACGGACTG